TCTTTCTCGGGGGCACAAGGCCTGGTGATGGGGGATCCAAATCAAACATGGCAAAAGGAAGACAAGCGGGCTCTAAAACGCAGCCTCCGTACTCGAGGAGTTACTTTTCTGCCCACTATTTGTATTTTTTCAGAGGAGAGGAAGCAGGCTCCGAGGACTGACGCGTCTAGTGAAAAACATGACAAATACATCCACGCACTCGAACGGCAATAAAGGGTAAGATGGTAAACCCCAGGCGAACATTTTCACAAGTTGTGGAGGAACACAACCTTGGCACAGCTTCCTCCGGTCACCTAAAGCCACGTGCAGTCAGCACACAGCATGAACAGGCCCAAATTAATTTCTTCTGTATTAAACATAGGGTAACTTACCCTATAATCTGAATACAGCTTATTTTAAAAATTGGGCTAAAGTTGCTCTTAAAAAGATGCCTGCTAGAGGAGAAAGCAGGCTGAGACCCTTGCTCCTTTTGGCATTACTTCTGGCTTTTTTTTGGAGTCTTTACCCGTCCCTCTGTTTACAGGCAGGAATACCGACCCCATTTATAAATCACTTTTCATCCACCCATTCCTACGTGCCACATAAAACCACAAGGTGCTGCTACCTAAATTAGGCTACAATTGCTTTCTTCCCCTTCAAAAATTACTATTAACAAAAAATGGAACTAATAAAATTTAGAGTAACTTGAGTTTAAGCAGTGCACCAAAACGACAACGCTGAAAATGGAATTATCAAGAAGTGAAAACACACTCTCCTTTTAAAGGCAAAGTAACTCTTCAGTTTCAACAAAAATACCACCCCTCAAATAACTCTTCAAACATAACATTGTGTCAGTTTTTATTTACCCGAAAATTAATTTTGCCAACCCCCTCAAGTCTTTAGTCTACATAGTGCCAAGCAGGAATTCTGCTTTGAATTACTTCACACGTGCTCTGCTCTGAGTTTTGGCATGATAAATCACTACTGTCCGTAAGACACCGCAAAAGCAACTTCTTGTAATTCCACATCAGTTTGAAAGTAGAAAGATAAGGTAAGTTGTAGCATCTGTTTTGAGATTCCCTGTCCTCTAAACATGCAAAAATTGGAAGTTTAAAGTTCTCTCGGCTAATTCTACCATCTCCTTATTGCAGATAAAAAGGGTTCTCACATTTTAAAACACATACTTTCATTTTTATCGCACTCTTTGCAACTAACACCTTTAAAAGACATTTGGCAAGTTACAAAAGGTTATATTTAACCAAGCTTTATTTAAAGATTACTGTAACATACCCATATGCTTTTTACACATGCATGTGCATGTTTTTCTTTCTGGGAGGGGTTTATTAAAATTGAATGAGAAGTGTTTTTCTCGATTTCTCTGTGATAGCTTTGCTGTATAATTCAGAAGGAAGTCAACACACAGTTTTGCCAGTTCGTGAAAGCTTTTTCTATTTCTCTCATTTATTCTAGCTCTCATGTCAATTCCATTGTTCCATAACAGTTAAGGTTTTACAGCCTTAAAATAATAAGCATATTTTCTTTTCACATTTTACAAGTCTATTCCCGCATTGTTTTCACTTTTGAGAAGCAACAATACATGACTTTGAACACCTACTATCACATCAGTGACCAGAAACGTCTATGCAATTTTTTTCTAAACAGTGCAGTTTAGCTGAACAGTGAGTCAGGATCTCCTTCTGCAGTTTCATTTTAGCTTTTTCTAGAAAGATAGATTCTCTGAAAATATAAAAGAGACCACAAATGATCAGACAGCAACTCATATAGACAAGCTAGACAAACAGAGATGCATTACTGAAAAATGTTTAAAGCATCAGTCACAGTATTTCTCCATTCCATGCATTCCACATCCTGCTGTTGATCTAGAGGACATGATGAAATATGCTTCACTACCGCTTCGATTATTCTGTAAGTTTATCCTTCTGTCTTCTCTTCTACACAAGAAATGGTTTACAATATATTAAAATTGACATAAACAGCCCTATTGTGACCCAATTTTGTATTGGTTCCCTCGATTCCCATGTTTCTCCCCAAATATCACCACGGTCTTAATCTCATTTTATTAACAAAGCAACTGTTGCTGCAATATAGAACAGCACTTCAATCTTCATCACGTGGACCAGAATACACTGAACTTGTGTGATAGCTTTTGTTACTTTTTTTTTTTAAAAAGTAAATCATAGCTCCAACTGCTAGCAGAAGTAGGCAATAAAGCAGTTTTCTTCCAAAAACTGGTTTCCAAAACCTGATTAACGCATGTGAACTTGAACAATTCCAAAGCAAATGTCACATCTAACGGAACATTTTTCTGCTGGAGAAGTCATCATTTGAAACAAGATCTACAGGGCAGCAAACAATCATTAAGATGCTTTATTGACAATATCCACTCACCGCAAAAGTATCTGCCTGCATACAATTAGATCTTAGCTTCTCAATAGTGTTTTATTGGCAGTGGAAAATGCATCAGTACTTTATTGAAAGAAAGCAATAAATAATACTGTGATAAAAATAGTTCAAAAGTAGACTGTACATATTGTTACATAATCTGAAAATACACAAAAGATTAATAGAAAAACAGAATAGTAACAATGAATTTCAGTTTTACAAGCAAGTTAGAAGTGGAAAACAGAGAAAAAAGACATGCTATATATATTGTTGCATAATAAATAATGCACCATCTGAACAGATTCTCGCTGGCTTTTTAATATGCCATTTACAAGTGTTGGATACATTTTCTACTCATACAGTCCAAAATGGCTACAACCATCCAAATTAAAGTCCAGACAACTCTTTAGAACAAGTTTACAAAACACAAAATATGACTTACATAAGAAAAGTAAGGCCTTTATTAGAGGTCGCACCGCTTTAGTTTTCAGCCCATTGTACCTTCATCTTTCGCTACTCATTTGACATGAGACTGCAGTGCTTCATGATTGGTCCATTAAAACTAGTTTCACCAGCATCTTTCCACAAGTGTTTTCAATCAAAAAGAGCTACGACAAAAACTCTCTGTGGCCTGTGGATTACGACCAGGAATTATTATGAAGTCTATCTTCCTCAGTTAAAGGAAAGAAAAATACAAACAGTTCTTGGTTTATGGCTTGTTTTCAGTCACTGTGAAGATACGCTACACAAATACAGCAGAGAGTGTTATGACCGAGTGAATCACTTCTAAAACATGTTCCGTAGTGTTATAGTTCCTCCCAGCTTTTCAAACAAGTTATATTTTAAATAAAGACAAATTCCCACTACTTGACAAATCCTCTTTGTGGAAAGGTACAGTTCCGAAAAGAAGAACAATCATGTACCATACCTTCTACAACAACATACACTTACCTGAAAAAAAGCTGGACTTGTTTTCAGATCTAAGCTAACATTTCCAAAAGACAAAATATATACTGCTTGGTGTCATGATACTTTTACAAAGGTATTAAAATCCTTTTCACCTTCAGTTTCATTATTAAAAAACAATGATAATTACAGTAACTGCATAATTTACAAAAACCCTATATTACTTATAGGGGCATATACATACAAGCATTACAGTACATTCAGTTGGAAAGACTAAAATTAGAATAAAAAAACCAGCAATGATTTGATTTGTAGACTGAATAGAAACAGAAAAAGTAAGTAACTATATAAATGAGAAGTCACATAAATATAAGAAACATTTAGATTCTAAAATATTTTCTCTATAGTACTCATGAATTTATTTGCTAATTAAAAACTCTGTAATAAAATATCTCAAAGTGTCCATTTAACAAGTATTAACAGGTTAAGGGTTCCAAATGTTCAAAATGCTGCATATCACCGGTAGAAATAGTGTGGGTAAACTGTAAAAACAACAAGAAAAAAAACCAAACAAAAGAAGTTCCATTAGCAGGTGTTTTTAAAAACATTTCATTCTAAGTTTCTTACAAACAGCTCAGTAGTGGAGCAGTCATGCATCGAATCATTGCCATGCCACGATGTATACAATTCTATTGCCTTCTGTAATCTTCAGTTGCAACGCAAAGTAAAGCACATGAAGTAAAATATTTCTGCTTCCCAGATTTTTATCCTAGATCATCTGACTATAGAAAATCCTGAAACAGTGGGGAGAAAATTTGGGGGAGGGGAAGACTTAAAACTTCAATGTCTTGAAACTCAAAAAAATTTAAAGATAGCCCCTGAGATTATGAAGTGACAGATCCACATGATCTGAGTTGCTACGTGCAAGCGTTTCCCTTCTCAACATTTCATAAGAACTCTTTAGAACTAGACTTGTATATGCAAAAAGGTTCAGAATTTGAAGAAAAGGCAGCCAATATATGAGTTGGTAGGGATGTTACTGGTGAGAAGAAAGGAAAGAAGCTGTCATCATCAGAAGAGACAGGCAATTTATAGCCCATGGAAGATACCAGCTAGTGAGAGAAAGATTCACTGGATTCTTTTTTATTTTTAATCCAATAGAGTAAAAAAAATTTAGTTTCCAGACCTGTTTGCAAAATGAGAGAAATACTGTTCCGTGAGAAAATACAGCAGAGGCTGCTGAGGAAAAATCATTCCAAATCCTGGAGTACGACAAGACTACATGGCTTTCATAAGCCAGAAAGCATGTACTCTGTGTTAAACACCCTTGTATTATCAAGCTGCCTTTTACTGTCAGCACTGCTCCCACCTACCCGAATCTAGGCTGCAGGTAGCTCAATCCAAACAGGCAGCCTAAGCAATCACAGTGGCATGAAGTGTCCAAGAACTGGAAAACTATGCAATTACCCCTATAATAATTCAATATTAAAGTATATTGTAGTGGGATAACTTGACCAAGCAAAGACTCTGAACGATCAATAATCTGAACTGCAGTGTCACATACCAAATTATTTTCTTTCCTTTATAGGCCTAATTTAGTTCCCTTCCCTCCTGCCCACTTTCACTAGCTGTTCCATCCAACCTTTGATTTCAACACGTTCTACACAGCTATTTAGCATGGGTCCTTTTTGAGGCTGTTTTAAAAAACCTCAAAAAGAATACAATATTTACAAAAGTAAATATTTAAACACTCATAGTCTTCACTGTAGGAACTAAGCTCTGGATTTTCAATATAACAACCTACCCTGAAAACTTGAAGCAGATTTGTGTTTAAATTCACTGTATTAAAATACCTGACGTTTTATTTCATAAATAGCTGCTTTACTATTATACCTATCAACTTTACTCACCAGGAGAAGGCTTTAACAGGAGTAGGTCCTTACTGTAGCAGAATCCAATCTTTGTGTTCCTGATACACTGCCTATTTCAAGAAGCATGGGAAGACATGCAGAACACAGCATGCATGTTAGTTCTCAAAAAAAAAATCCTACAGCAATTTGATTACAGCTACTGTACTCACCCAAATCTAAGGTTACAAGTTAGAAAAGCAGAATTTACTTTACAGTTTATGTATTAACCACTTCTAGTTTCAGTGGCTAACAAAAAGAAATCTGAAAATGTTTGTGTGCCAACTAGCACACAGAAATTGGCAAAGGTAATTTTATAAGTAATTTATTCTCTATTTTACATAGTTTATATATTTTTATTTTCTGGGTCTTTTTAATATCATAAAAATAAAGGGGTTTTACATGGTAGACTTCACTTATTTTAATTTACAGAATTTTCCACATTAATTCTGGAAAATATTTTGTGCTAGTGACAATATTTAAAATTTAAAACAGCTGACATTTTAGAGTAACAGACACAAAGGTTGCTTCTTTGAGCTTTACTCATAAATACAATTTTCAGAACCTGAGACAACTCTGACAGATTATGCTGAAGTTCTCATCCTGTCTGTTCCAATTAAATAAATTTTCCCATTTATTTTTACTTGTGTTTTGTAAAACAAATTCAAGTAAAAGTTTATTCTCATGGTAATAAAGAGACTGTTTTTAAACAGACAAGATACCTCATGTGACAGGTGATCAACTTCCACTTCCAGCTGGGTTTTTTGTGTTTTGTTTTGGGGTTTTTTTTAATACTTATCTGTGTGTGCACACATATACATATAGATCATTACGTACACAGCAATAAATGAAATAGTGATTTCAAGCCTGATCAATACTTAAGTGACCACTGCAGGGGGTGGTAACACACTTTTTACTCAATTTTTTATAATCTCAAAATTATCTGAGAGAGTTTACTCACATCATTTTTGAATGCATTTTACTGCATCTCAGAAGTGGGACTTACATTGGCCTAACTGCTACTAATTAGGAGAGGGAGAGACCTTATCACTCTCCACAACTACCTGAAAGGAGGTTGTAGCGAGGTGGGTGTTGGTCTCTTCTCCCAAGTAGTTAGCGATAGGATGAGAGGAAATGGGCTCAAGCTGCGCCAGGGGAGGTTTAGGTTGGAAATTAGGAAAAATTTCTTTACGGAAAGGGTGGTCAAGAATTGGAAGAGGCTGCCCAGAGAGGTGGTGGAGTCACCATCCCTGGAAGTGTTCAGAAAACAGGTAGATGTGGCACTTGGGGACATGGTTTAGTCTAGTCTACCCTTGATTGCTTTAGAGTGGACTTGGTAGTGTAGGTTAATGGTTGGACTGGATGATCTTAAAGGTCTTTTCCAACCTAAACGATTCTATGATTCTATAATTAGAAGTTATGCATCACATCATTAAAAGACTTCTACTAAAATGTAATTTTATTTTCCTAGTGTAAAATAAATGTATTTCTAACTATAATTCTCATTTTGTTATTCCAATAAAGTAAAAAGAAACTCCACATCTACTACTGCATCCTAAAATTATAAAGCACCCTATGGTTAAACAGTGTTATATATACAACCATGCACAAGGCAGATGCTTTTATGCAGCAAAAAGGTAATTTGAACTTAATTCCCCTGTAATCTCAAGCAAAAAAGGGCATCATGCTTAAAATAATACAAAATCAATACCATCAATCTGCATCTTCTTTGGCTGCATAGAAGGTGAAGACATTGAGGTTGTAACTCTGAAGTTTGCAGGAAGAGTCTCTGCTGATCCAGCAGCTAAACCTCTTATGTCCTTTGGTCTAAACTTCTTTCTCCATGAAGGTGCTCTCCTAAAGCTCTTATCATCATCCTGTTATATTGATAAACATCATTAGCGATTCAAAAAATGTAGGATTGTTTACTGACATTAAAAGGATTACTGACAATCTTAAGTAAATGTATCACTACCGAATGAGTTAATTTTCAGAATGATTCAGGTGTAACAGCAGCAGAGGTCTTAATTTGCAACAGTCTCTGTTCATTTGCCAGACTACAGGCTCTTCAGCTCAGTAACTATGGAAATTCATGTGCTTGGCACATTTAAGAAAACATTTTGTACTTTGAACGTTTGTACTTCATGATTTGCAATAATTCTAAGTGTCACATCACTCATTCTTAGGGGTATGAGTGGAGCAGATCATAAACGCTGCTTTGGGAACACTGACATAAACAGGCTTAATTTGAGCAATTGCTTTTCACCTTCAACTCTGTCTTACAGGAATGATGATACAGCTATCGTGCTTTCTCATGCTACAAATTACAGGAAGTGATAGTGAGGAAAAAAAAAGTAAGTGTAGTAAATACTATATTGATGTGCAGTGTTTTGCTTAAGCACTTGGGTAAGCTTCGCTTGTAATTACCTAGGTGTATTTTCCCCCATTAATACATCTGCATCTTTGAAGTAATATTCCACTTCAGAAATATATTGCACTTACTAAATACAATAGTTTAAGTCCCACTTCCAAAAATGTCTTTTGCAGTGAAGGTATTATGTCAATGCAAATATACCCACTGTGCATCTCCGTTTGCCAACTTCACCTTTAGAAGCAGTTCAATCACTTGAATGCCATTTTACCTAAAATTTATCCCCTTTTAGAATTAGGAGACAAGCATCTGCAGTATTTGAAGGGATCTTCATGATCAAACTGCCCTGTGCCGCTAGAACAGAGCAAACATCCATTCCCTCAAAGCTCCTTCTCTTGCAGTTTGAAATCATGAAGGAAACCCAATCAAGGCCTGTCATCGCAGCCTCCTTCCTCAACATACTGGTGTAGGCTTCCCTTCACTGATCCAAAAGCAGCTAAACCCACACTTTCACCCTTCCCTTGTCCTCTTCCTCACACCAGAACAAACATTTCTGAGCTATCATGGACGGGTTCCCTGATCTGATTAACTACGTTAGGGTTTTGACACCTTAGTCTTAACCTGAACCACTTTTCCCTACGTGTGCTACCACATAAACTCCCATTAGCACCAAAGAGGAGGTAGCACTGAATTACGACTCTCTCGGGGAAGTTAACACCAGCTTGAAACTGTTCAGAGTTACAGCACAGGGCAACTTAAAGGGTTAAAGATGTACCACCCTCTCCTTTCTGCTACGGGTTCAAAGGGTCTACAGAAAAGTCTCATATCTAGTTTGTTAGAGTTTTATACTCATTACATCTGAATGAAGTTTATACACTGTAAGATCACAGACTGCCCAATAGAAATTACTTTGATGTGCAAACATACCTGGTGGTCATCTATACCAGTATTAACAGGTATTCACAATACAAGCTTCCTTGAAAAACACTCAAAATTATTTGAAATACTGCTCGTTAGGACAAAGGTTTGAAATGTGCTACACGGTGCCTTTCTCTATTACAGCTTGCTCATCTGCAACACCAGTCACTAACTTTCCCACATTTTAGATAGAAGATTCAGCCCAAAGTGCTGCTGTTAGACATTAACCATGGAAGCTACAAAAAACAAACTTGCAAATCCTCCCAGTACTTTCATATTCAAAGTTATCTTACCTAAATACACAAAACCTACCATATTCAGAAACTCTTGAAGACAAAGCATTTCAAGTTAAGAATTCTGTCACTATTCTGTCAATAGCTTAAAGAGGTTCAAACTAAATTCTTTCACTTAACATTTCTGATAAAGTTCCCAGGACCATAAAATGGGTTAACAGCTCAAGTGACTTACTTCATCAAGTCTTCTGTCAGTGCCTACAGCAAGAAGGTTATTAAATTCCCTCTCCAGAACAGCACGAGCCTGAAGTTTATAATACGAAAGAAATGGAAATTCATTCCAAAAGATTAGTAATTAGTAACATATAGTAGCTTTTAAAACTTAATATAACCCAAATTGTTTAATGCCTTCTTATCAGATTAATAAACACAATTAGTACTTGAAAAGTTACAATTTAAGTTGTAACTCATTAAAAATTTAAGGAAGCCTTAACAGCTCCCCCTTCCCTTAGTTGTAACATAGAAGTTCATGATTTCTGGCTCAAACTCCATTACTTCAGAATAAAAACTAGCAAACAACAAAAATGATGAGTTTTACAGTAAGGCTGTGAGAATGGACTATGAGGAGAATATTCAAACAATATTTTTTGTTCAAGCATATTTATCAACCAGAATTTTTATTAACAATTAGAAAACACTAAGAAAAGCATAGTTCCATGTTTTTCTCGTATAGGAGAATGGACAACTTTCCATTTCTAAAGTTTGCAGAGCTGGGAATAGAAAGATAATGGACTTACCTGAGGAGAGAAAAAAAAAAAAAAAATCAGTTCCATTTTTAACCCTTCTAGAGGGGAGAAAAATCCTATGGGCCATAAAGTAACTATTTCTTGCTTACCTGTGTGTTTTGAGTAGGTATTTGTAATAAGAGAGCTAATGCATTGTAATCAAATGATTCATCTAAGGCCACAAGTGCACCATGAACTCCGCTCTCTATAAGGTTATTTGCGTATTCTTTAAGACCAATGGACACTACCCAATGGATCATTCTTTCATTGCTCCAGACAAGGACATCTATGGAGGAAAAAAAAAAAGTTGCCTGATTCATAACAATACAACTTTTCTCAACAAAAAACCCCAGTCCTTTCTTGACCTGTATGCTCGTGTTGGGATTGATTTTTCACATAGACACCAATTCATCATAAATGCTGTGAAGTAGTAGCCCTCAAGGAATTGTGTTATTTAACATTTAGGTTGCCATCCAATCTGCCCCTGCCTTTTTGGTGTGCATGAAACGCTCTGAACTGGCAACAAAACTTCATGCTTAGACTCCAACACTTGGTGTTGGATCCTTTCCATACAGTAGTTTTCCTTGCACCCAGAAGGAATAGTCCTGGAGGGAGGCTACAGTCACAGTTATGAGCCAAGTTCAGCTGGGCATAGCATCCATGCACATAGGGAAGACAGGACCTTCTATTTCACACAGCCACTTAGGGGTCTGAACCTCACCCAAGACAGATTAAGTATTTTGAAAAAAAAATTCTACTACTCAAAAGAAAAATCTTACAGCAGTTTCTCATACACTTCCTACTGAATTTGAACAGAAAGCTTCATTTATTATTGTTTAAAGCTTTATTATTAGTTTTCTATCTTATCTGCCTGTAAGTTCTGAAGGTGTTCAATTTAGTAATGCAGACTTACCTTCAGCTTGTGTATGCATACTACTACACTTTTCCACAACCAGAAATTTAAAGTGGCAAGTAAACATATTTGAAGTTTGCTGGAAGGCATTTCATACTCTAACAGTTCAACAATCAATATACTCTCATCTTTGAACTTTTTCCAGCAGAAACGTTATAAAGCAGCATTTACATGTTCAGCCCAAACATCAAAACAAAAACTATCTTCTTACAAGTTAGGTTTGGGGTTTTTTTGTTTGTTTGTTTTTTAAATACTACTCAGGAATGTCTATACCAATCAAACACTTACAAAGATCCACAGCATGTTTCTGGCCTGTGCCAACCAGCATTCTTCCCAAACAACTCCCCGGAAGCATTCAAGAGATACAAAGAAAAAAAAAACCACCCCAAAAAAACCTTTTTCAAAACCCTCATTCTCCTAAAACATTTAGTTTTGTTTCAAACTTCAGAGCAGTAAGAGTTTCAAAAATGTCTGCATTTGTAGCACATCTGTGCGCGAGTGAATGGTTTAATGATGTGTTTCACGATTCACTGTTTAAGGTCTGCATCCAGACACATCTCCTCTATTTAACACTTGATGTTTTATAAATAATTCCTCCCTCTAATGTTTTTGTTTTGTTTTGTTTTTGTTTTTTTTTTTAAATAAATTTGAGCCAGATCAGTGAAAACACATTAGAATCAGACTGAGGTCAAGACAATGCACTAACCCTTAATTTCATCCTGGCTTTCTTCTCTTTTTCTTTCAAGTTCTTTTCGATCATAATTCAGTCTTCGTAGGCACATAATTCCACACTGAAAACTGTTTCTGTTTAGAAAATAAAAACAAATTTAGAAAAAAAAAAACCAAAATAAAACATTTAGAGATACTGTAAGTTAGGTCTCCAACTTAAATCTACTTACCTGTGAAAGCTGTCCACCATTTTAAGTTGCCCACGCAGATCTTTTTTAGTTAAATGATCCAGCATTCGAGCATCAACAAGACATTCCATGAAATAGCTGCGATACTGAGGGAGCCCCAGACTAGGGAGCCATTCATTGCCAATCCACTCATGGTTCATATCACCATATGCTAACGTCTGTTTTTAAAAGATTAAGGAATAAACTTATTAAAATGAGAAATAAAAGAGAAAAGCTTTTTTAGACAACATATTTTAAAGGAAAAGGTAAAACAATGCTTACTTAATTCTTCGCTTGTAAAGATAAGCAAATAAAAATATTGAATGCTACATGTATATTTTCTGAAGAAGTCAACCTCATGAAGAAAAGCAAGTTTAGATATTCAGATCAGCAAGTAAAACTGCCTTAATTTATTTCATGTTGAAGAGTATGAAAAAATATGTAAGAACTAATAAAAATAAGACTAATCTATACTGTTTTGATAGCAAGAGCCATAGAATTTAATTTTGTTAAGATGCTAAAAACATTCTCTCTCTTGAAAACTGGGGGGGATTCTTATTTTTCATATGACCATATAAACTCAAGACATCAAAAAAACCAACTGCAGAGGTTGTTTTTTTAATACACTTAACTGTTTTCAGAAACTGATCCCAATCAAGTAAGCAAAAAATGATAAAAACCCACTACTGAAGAACAAACAATTCTAAGTGCTAGTCCTTATCTTAAAAACAAAACAACAAAAAAAAGGAAACAAAACCAGAAGACCCCCCGAAAACCCAACTTTCCTTCACTGCAGTTTTGACCTGCAAATCATCAGGCATCTTTTGGAGAAAACTTTTAAAAAGAAGAAAGTTTGTAGCTATGCATCTAATCATTCCTTGAGCAACAACATCCAGCAGCTCTTTTTTTCCAAGTCAAGGGTAATAATTAATTTTTACTGTGCAATTAAAAGTCAAAAGCTTCATTGCACCTTCTAGAAATGAGCAAGGCCACACAGAAATGCATTTCTTCAAGCCATCGCTAGGTAGCAGACTGAAAGAGCACGTTACTCTTGTAAGAGGGAGACAAGCTATGCTTGTTACATTGGCAATCTGCAGATGAGTATCTGAGACGTAGTTAATGGGACTTAAACAGGTTTAAGCTGGAGGGCAGCCAAGCAAGAAGAGACTATACTGTCCAAAGATATGGGTCACAGGCAAATCCTGAGTTCTGTTTACATCCCTGTATAAAATACTCGACTCTCTCAATGCCTGAAAATACAATTAGGATTTGTCACCACTTTAAGGGAAAACATTCATCAAGGAGGATTACAGAATTAGTGCACAGAAATCTACTTAACTATCTAGGCTCAGTATGTCTTGCAGCACACCTGTGACAGTGGCCAGGTTGAACAGAGACTTCCTGCACACAGCAGATATTCTTGTTGGACTTCTGGCTTCCCAGAAAGCCATCCCCCACCAAAACATTCCACACTGTCATGAAATTAGTTTAAAATTTGATCTGATATGTTCAATACATAGAAAACAACAATGCTTATTAAGAAAGTAACTTCATTTTGGTGATTCATAAGCTAGAGTACAAATATCTCAGAAAGCTCATTATAACAAAGACTTCTGAATATTCTTCTCCTAACAGCCTTATTATTAAAAATCCTTATGCACAGCTTTTTTTGTGATGTACTATGTAACAAAGTATTTTACAAACTTTCAATGATGAACCACCAAATCTTGGAAGTTCTAGAAAACATTAAAATACTTTAAATCACCTAAATATAAAAGTGTATCTTCCAAATATGTATTATACAGAGATAAGCCTGTCATTTCCCCCTCTCCCAGACCCCAAGCCACACCAAGAGTCACTCAAAGAAACTGCTACAAAGGAAAAACAGATTCTTTCATGCTCTAATGATTGTGACAGTTTACATATAGTCGATAATATTACGTAAAGGTTCCAACCTGAGCCCAGCTGCCCTCCTCATCTTCCTGTTAGGTGGTTAGAAAAGCAAAAGAACACATATGTATTAGTATTTAAGTTTAGTAAGGAGATCAAAGTTAAAGACACACTGCAAGATGCTAAGTCTACTGCATACCAAAAAAAACTAGATAAAGCAAGCATCATGCATTGTAAAACAATGTACAAGGCACTCATTTTGGTATGAGAGGTTGTAAAACCCATCTACTGATTAAGTTTTCTGGAAACAAGAAATTTCTGCGCAAGTAATTCAATTTGTCTATTAGTTAATCAAATCAGAGCTCCATTTTACAGATTACGAAAGAGTTTTGTTCACAATCTTATCAAAGTTTATTTTCTCCCCCTTTCTGGAAAAAAACTATCAAGATGCAGGTTACAAGGTTAATAATTAGAAGCAGCAATGATCCAGAATTTTAATGCGTTAATTTGGGGAAGGGGGGGCGGGGGGAAGACCAACAGGCACTTGATTCAAATGTTCAAAAAGTGGGAAAAGCACTCTAAGGAACAGAAGTGGCAACACTGTAAACTAACCGTTTGTTGTGTGGCTGTAAGATTTTCCATTTCTTCATGTGTTACCCAGACATTTCCCGTGGTCTAATATGACCCCACAGGGAACCAATCCCATCCAGTGAAAGGAAAGCAGTAACAAAGAGGAGAGGTTGCAGAACATATAAGCAATCGGTACACGTAAGGAGCAGGCATGGGCAAAAGCAATGGTTTCTAAAGTCTTAAGTATATCTACTGAAAGTAATGGCATGGAATAAAAGCCTATTAACACGGATCGCTTTTCTTCAAAGATATTAACAAAATTGAATGTGATAAATAGCTTACACTGATGTAATTAACGGGCAAACACTTGACTCTGCTCTAATCTGAAAAACGCATTTGTAGTCTAGTACGTAATCCCAGGAATCTCAGAAATAACTTCAGATTGCAGGGCAGACTCACTCATGAGAGGGAATTCACACCGAGTGTCTAAGTTTACTATGGTATAGAGAGACAGGCGGACTCCTAGTTTTTGTAGGCTGAATCATTATTTGGAGTTAATGGCCTTACACATGGATCAAAAGAGCCTCCAACTATTTTACAAGTTTCTGTACACACATGTATACTTCGTCTGCATTGTAAATTTTTCTGAGGCCAAAAGATGGTGCCAATAACACGTACTCTAAATATTTTGGGTTATATACTTACACTGATACAAACTTCTCTATCCCTTAAGAAAGAAAATGTAGTTATTCCTTTATTTGATTTCCATGAAAGGAAGAAACATGCTATATTTAAATAATGTGTTTCTCTACAATGTAATGTTTCCAGAAATTCTTATTTGAAGCTCAAATCCTTTCAGCTGCATGTTTACGGTAGAATTTTTGGAAATTCTAATGGTTCTAAAACATGTTTAATGCTGGATCACTTTCCTTACCGTCCTTGAGGTGGGAGGGGCAGATGGACTTGTTAGTGACATGATTTCTTGAATGGCCAGCCTCAGCTTCAGTCTGTGCAGAGGATTACTAATTCCAATTTCACGCTGTATTTCTGTGTCAGACAAGGCTGACATGATAGCACCGCTTTTCACATTTGCTCGGCAAGCAGCCACGTACCAGGCTGGCATACCAACCCACAGCTGAAACACAAAAAAAGGTAGTAAGCAGGATCTGGAAAACATTCCTGGCTCCAAAACCTTAAATTCTTTAGCAGTTGTTACATTGAGGTTTTTAATTTTTATTTATTTTGGAGGGACCACTTACCTCCAACCACACAACCACAGTAGGCCCATCCCACTGTGCAAAAGGTAATCCTTGTCTTCTGGCTTCCTCAAGCAACTCATGCCTACAATTACAGAAATAGTTATCAATAACAAAGAGAAACCAGTTATAACTAGATGTTACAATTTAAATACCGCATTCTATTTACTCTCTTCTTTCCAATAGTTAGCTTTCTTCCTTTCTCAGCCTTATACGACATACCCACTAAGGCAGCCACAGCACACGTACGAGGACTACATAGCTGAACTAGATAGAAAATTTCAGAGTGACAGAGATGCTTGATTCTGCCTTTTGGAAATTTGTGTCTGAAACTGCCACTGCCACTCTAGCCAACAGCGCCAACACAAAGTGGAGATGTCAGACTTATTTGTCAGTCAGATTCTCAATTGCTGCAATTTTCTGTTCAGCAAATTAGACCGAACCAAAATAGTCATTTTTCCTCAACATGCAGATTTGAAACCTGTGGAAATGTATGAGTACATCAGATACCCCTGCCATCGAAACGGTACTGGCCATCAGGCTGTCGAGGCTGGAAGCTGGGACAGTAACCATTTAATTCGTGAATCTCAGTCTGCGACAGCCAGCCTGTCAGAATTGCAGGCACAGCTTCAAACAACCATTATATTCAGAGCACCACGCTTTGGCAATTATATTCTGAAAGGCTGTGTACTGAAACTCAGCTTTCATCTCCTATGGTGACATCATTTCCTTTGTTTTTCTGAAACAGAAGAGACTGAGGTTTAATATTGACAATTCAGCTTACGGAAACAATGGAAGCTCACAAGATCCCTACAAATAGCTGCCAAAAATGTTTGATAAACCGAGAGAGGAAAACTAGTGTTGCAGGTATTCACATGCAATGTTGCTTGGATACATCTGTCTGAAAAAATGGGTAAAGTCTGAAAAAAGCACATTTAAGCTGCCTTTGAAAGCTAGTTGTATATTGCTAAATCTCCACTCACTCTCCTCAGAAGTTTAGAAAAAAACAACTTCACCTAATAGGACATTTTTTACTGTTTTTACTGGTTTATGCTTTTTATTCATGCCTGCAAGTGTAGAATTAAGAAGATAAGCAGCAATACTACAGACACAGGATGTATTTATAATTTTCTCACAATTTAAAACAACTAAAACCTCCTCACCTTCAGAACTGTACCATTAAATAAATCTACAATGATAAAATATTTAAAAACTACTATCCAAGACTTCTTGAAAAGGGGTTACTGACAGGCTAGGAGCTTTCTTTGCTAGTAGGGCAAAACAAATATGTAGTGTTCAGCTCTTTCAGACGTACCAGCATACCTAGGATTCTCATGTTATATTGGTAGATAACTAAATATAAAAAAATAATCAATGAAGTAACAAATATACTAGCAACTGTTTTATCAGTAGTACTTCTCCACCTGCATGTCAATAAAATCCTATTTTACTCTAGAAGGGCCTTCCAACACTTTATCCTAATTAAATGTGCTGCCTAGGAATGAAAAAAGGGGAGGGAGGAAGGAACTGCCAGATAACGGGTTACAAATAACCATTCTAATGTACCCATTTTAAGACCCAACAATTAAGGCGGAAATAGCGTTCAGCAGTTAGCAGCTCAATAGCTAGATTTCACTAACACAGAAGAGAAGACCATAAAAGTTAATACATATTTGTACACTTCAAAAAGGTACATGTATTTCTAAATTAGGAATAAAGGATCAGCTATTTTCCTGCTACCATGGAACACATTCCATTAATCCCACAAATCACTAGCGCTGAACACATTCAGTTTTGCTTCACTCTGTTGTTTAAAGATTAAAAAAAATGAGAAAAATAAATTAATAAGATACTATAAAAATAGTGCTTGGTAAGAACAGAATAAAATGCTTAATAGTGTATTTGCCAGAAAGGAATACAATGTTTTTTTGCAAGTAGTTTAACATCGAAGTTGGTGTCTTTGTCTTCCTTTTTGGTGGTTGTGGTAACATGACCATGCAGTGAGGGGGGCCCGCTAGCGATGGAAGAGCACGGACATGCCCACAGTAGCCTCAGGACTGACTAGGATGACCCCACGAGAGCATGTAATCACTGCCTTCCCCCAGCTTATAAAGCTGCTTGGGGTATTGTACCTAATCTAGAGAACTGCAGCGTCATTTCTGCTAGCTTTATAACTCTCCCATGTTACCCATGAAACAGCAAATCATTTGGAGATGAGCAGTACAGGGAATGAGTACGCATCAAAAGCATAAGGAGAGCTTGTGATGCAAACTCTCAGCTCATGGTGATATTTTATGGAGAAAACAATAGTGTGGCTGGAAGGAAGTATTATGTGATGAGGCAAATGTAGAAATAGAAACAAACAAACCAAAAATCTTTATGAGGTAACTTTATGCAAATTATTGAAATTATTCAATGGATCCAAAGAGGAACACATCCATGAAGTAGAAAATTAATTGTGGAATTTGTTCACATGCAAGAAGAGATAGAAACTTGCTTGCACGGGAAATCATTAAGCTGAAAGCTCAAGACAGCACAGGCACAAAATATCTCATGGGAAGAATTCAAAAGGCAGCTGCTGTTTCAGCTGCAAATGATGCATCAATGGTTTTTTCCTTTGGCAGAGAGCTTCACTTTTCCAGCAATACCTTCCCAACTTCACGAAGAAACTCACTGCATTCTAGCAATACACGATCAGATTATGTAAAGATCACAACTGACATGCCAGTTTAGTTTCACAGGCCATCCAATTATACCATTTAAGAAGCGGGTGCAAAATCCAGCTTTGTATCTTCGTGAGGAAAAAAAAAATTAATACTGCAGTAGTGTTGGCAGTGTTAGCAGATGGCACAAAGCTGGCACCGTGAAGGACAAAAGAATGTCAAACAAGTAGCTGGCTACTGGAATAACTCTTAGGTGACAAAACCAAGGGATAGATGTCTACAGACTTAATAAAAAGTTGGCTGAAAATCACTGGGAACGGGAGACCAAATGTGCTGCTGTAAGAGGGGAACACTTGTTTTTGGACACATTCAAAAGGCATCTAACACCAGCTGTGGAGAACAAAGCAACTGTGGTCATATGGGATGAGAAATGATGTCAAAACTGCAGGTGCTCGACGTAGTAGTGAACACACAAGGCCCTTTAAAGACCATTTGAAGTATTTGTATTTGAAACAGCTCTTGGCAGACAAGCATCCTCTAACCCCACAAGGAAAAGAAAACAGCCCAGTGCAACACCACTTTGTCATTGCATTAAGACAGCATGGGAATGGATAAATCCAGAACTTGTAGCCAAAGAGGAATGCTGTATTCCAGATTTCTTGGATGGAACTGAAGATAACTGATTTGGAAGAAGTTGAGAGTAGAGAAAACACTGCCGGGAAGGTGGTGAAGAGAGTGATACTGATGGAAATGATGGAAATGACAGCGTTACAAGATGTAAAAACTGAAAGGCAACAGTAGCAAAACATGAGATGAAAACAGACTAACTTCAGGCAGAGCATCAGTGGAAAGCCAATATCCTTACTATATATTGACTTCAGGTACGTAATAAACTTTCTGTGCATAACTTTTTTTAAAGGAGAGTTATTTTCAATTTAGGGTTGCCTTCCTTTTTGATTAATACAGTATTAAGCTTGTTGTGTTGTACACAGAAAAGCACAAATACAGTTGTGGCAAACACTGTCAATAGTACAGCTCACAAAGAAGATGAGCAGCATGAACAAAACACTAAAACCAAATTTAGTAAACAAAGAGCAACAATTTACAGAAATACATCTACCTTGGAAATGAATTGCCACAAATATCTACTATTGCTAAACAACTTTCAAAACCCAAACTACAAAACTAATTCCATTTAGGTAGGGTTTAATATTTCCATTACAAAAACTCACACCATGCAAGACAAGACATTGAACTAGCATTCACACTGAACTAAGATGACACTGGATTTATTTCAGCAACACATTTTCACAATAAATTCTTTTGAATCTAATATCTCCTCTCATAATTAGACTTTTTGAAAAAAAATTAGAGCTTTTAATATATTGCTAAAAAATCCAAATGAGATTTATCATAATTTCACAGTAATCCTAATAAGTAAATATAAACTTACCCTGATTTTGCACTACCACATCAAATGGTAAACGAAAGGAAAATAAAACAATGAAGGAAAAATATAAATCTAGGATTAAACTGAACTCAAAGACATACAAAACCAGACAAATAATGTATACTGTAATTTAATTCTGTAACTATAAATAGGTTTTTGTTAGTAAAGACATTGAATACTGCCCTCAGCCTGCTTGTGTGCATGCATGCATAAATCAGAAAGATAAGCAAGCAAACAGGGATTAGAGACAACTATAAATAGAACTAGCTGTCGTTGTTCCAAGCATTCAGGTAACTGGAATTCTTGTCGCTGAATACAGGATTTTGTAAGTGAACCGTGAACTTCGAGAATTTGTTTTAGCCCCACCCTCCTTGAACATCAAAGTGAAAAGCAATTCAGAGCAGCTTTACCACTTTTTTTCTTTTTGATAATGAACATCTCAAGAAGGCAGCAAGGGATCTTTGATGCTTTGTGATAATATTTCTTCCTATGTTCAGAATACCCGTCAGGATTCTGAAACAGCTGGATTAAAGTATATTGCTGGAACTTGTAAAACAGTAGATTTGCTTCTCGTGGAAGTTCAAAGGGCCCTGCTGCCGCTCTCAGCGGGAAGAGTAATAAAACTAAACATTATGATACGTATCTTCATCAACAGTCTTGTTTCATACCCACTTCCACTGAGTTATCTGAACCACAGATACCTTCCTGCAAATAAGCACGTATCCATATTTAATAGCTAGGCAAGGCAATTTCACCCTCTAAGTCTTCATCTGTCTAATACAGACACTTGCCTTTTAAGCAACCAAAGACATGCAGCCATGAGGTATAATTTAAGTAATACCCATAAATTTTTGAAAGGCAGAACGTTTACAAAGAAAAGTCATGATTTATCTGCAACTGCATTTTTTTGCATTTATTAAAGCAAGACAGTATGGATTGTTTTACTCTAGAATGAAATTTGTTGCTGGTATTGAGCAAGATCTACACTGTTCAAAGAAGAGGCCTACCACTATTTAGATATGGCCAGACTAAAACTATTTATTCAACCAAGATTAGTATGACTTTAAAGCTCTGCAGAAAAGGGAAAATACCAGATCATAATAATGTACGATTGCCTTCAGTGTAACAGTCTGAAGAAAAACAGCTGAGCATTCTGTTATACAAACAAAACCACATTCCATTCTGACTTTTCAAACCAACACACTGCTGGTTTTCATTAGCAGTCACCAGGCATTACTCTTATTTGTTAATAGAGCTTAGGTACTGCAAGAAATCTCTCTCACCGAGAGAAAATTAGCACGCTTTCTTTTCAACACTGACTAGTCTGTCTTCAGAAGTAAAAAGCAAGACAGGTCTGATCTCGGTCAGCTTTTTTTGACACAGAGTAAAAGACAGCTGAACAAAACAGAAGCAACAAAAGGTCAAGGTACATGGCTCAGCCCTGGGTGGAAAAATGCAAAGAATGCCTGATCCTACTTACATAAATTTGAGTGTTCCCTGTATTGCCATGTAAGCATCAAGTCAAGATTTCTACTACTAGCAGTATCTATTTTTCGCCTATAATTATAGTCTTTGCTTCATCTCTTCTAAGCCTGGGAACAACAAAGCATTCAATAGACAACTCAAAAGGTGAACATTAAACTAAAGATTTGCCTGGACACACACTGAAAAAATTCTCATGACTAGGAAAAGGCAACTGCATATCTAAAAGGTGCCATAAAAAAAGGACATAATCACAAATTATTAAAAAACAGGAAATCAGGCGTATATGGTGCAAAGAAAGAAGATTTTGGCTATTTGGCTATATGAAAGAGTGAAAACGTCAAGACAACCTCAAACAGAAGTAAAAAAATTAGCGAACATGGCAGCAGTTAGCAACACCAAAGGAAAGACTTTCAGAGTCACCTGCTAGAAAGGAACTGGCAAATGCATACAGAAGGATGTCTCTACAGAACATCTCATGCTTTCACTCTGTCAACTCTTTCACACTCTGGAGCAAGTAACAGCCAAAGACAACGTTGGGAAATCTTCCAAGTGAATTAAACCCAAAGCAGGTATTACATATAAATCTGGGAAAAGGTTTGATAAGAGTCCACTTTTATCTCCAAGGTTTTTTTATTACAGCATTTCAACAATAAGCTTTCAGCACTGAAATTTGTTTCAAACTTACCACGACCTATGCTACTGTTAATGTCCTGGAAAAAAAAAAAAAAAGTAAAAAATATTCTACAGAGGCTTACTAGCCATAGCACCATACTAGGCAAAAATACCTGAAAACAAACAAAACAGAAAAGAAAACAAAACATTTTTAAACAAAGCAATATCTTAACAACAGAGGATTAAAAATATTTGATAACTTACTTTTTCTGCATTTTCCTGTTTTTTTCTGCCTGACCTCCAAGCTTGCTGAGACCTAATGCATCCTGAGAGGAACTATCTGCTTCTGCCATGCCAGCTACAAAAAAACCAAACCAAAACCCAGTATTGTTATCTTCTCAATTTTGGCCAGTTATAACTCAAAAATCACTACTGCTTTCCTGAACAAAAGTATTTAATCCTTGGTAATATTACAAAATATTACAAGTAAGTGCTGTCTAAAACCAGATGGAATCACACTGAGAACCCCACATTTCAACCACCTGTAAGAAGAATTCTCAGTGTTCCTGTATCACTTATGGTTGGTGTCAACAACCTAAGCCAGGGAACAGACACCCCTACCCGAGGGGGTGTGATACTGGATCTGATGGTCACAAATACAAGTGAGCTCATCGGTGATGTCAAGACTGGAGGCAGCTTGGGCTGCAGTGATCACGCGTTGGTGGATGTCACGCTCCTGAGGGACATGGGAAAAGCGAGGAGTGCAGTCAGGACCCTAAATTTTAGGAAAGCAAACTTCCAGCTCTTCAAGGAGTTAGTCAGAAGGACCCCCTGGGAGACGGTCCTCGGACAGAGGAATGGAACATAGTTGGCAGATCTTTAAGGACACCTTCCATAGAGCACAAGAGTTATCAGTCCCCAAGTGTAAAAAATCAGGCAAGGAAGGGAAGAGACCAGCATGGCTGAGTCGAGACCTGCTGGTCAAACTAAAGAGTAAGAGGGAACAGCACAGGCAGTGGAAGCAGGGACAGGTGTCCTGGGGGGAATACAGGGAAACAGCTCGGTTGTGTAGGGAGGAGGTCAGGAAGGCCAAGGCGAGGATGGAGCTGAATTTGGTAAGGGACGTAAAGAATAACAAGAAGGGCTTCTACAGGTATATCAACCAGAAAAGGAAGGTTAAAGAAAGCGTACCCCCTGAATGAACAAGAAAGGTGAACTTGTATCAATGGACGAGGAGAA